TTTTATCCTCTCCATGGCTCTGGGCTTTTCAATACTTTGTGTAAAAAACTAAGTTTCAAAAACAAAGAAAGAAAAACTAATAAAATAATTAAATAAAATCTAATTAGAAAAAAAAAATAATACTTTTTTTTTTTTTTCTTGTTAAGGATTTTTGTTATTAAATATTATAAATAGTATTTCGAAAGATTTTTTTTGAAATACAAATACTTGTTCCATTAAAATTTATTATTGGCAACTTGAAAGCCAGTTACTTCAGTGGAACACATACAACCATAGAGGCCTTAGGTAAGAAAGAGAAAAGATTATATTAGAGTAGAAGTTAGCTAAAATCTACCAACAGGTGTTGGACAGATGTCTAGTAGAAAAGCACAAAATTTAAGCAAAGATTTATTATTAATATTTTACCTATATTTCATCAACAACATAGTAGACCGAAGAACTAAGCACACTGAGCTAAATGCTAAAAAGCAACAGGTATCCAAAATTACAATGTGCTAAAAAATTGGCAATAAAAAATGTACAGGAACAAAAAGGTTATAAGAAACAATTAAGACTATATGAAAAATGTGTAGATGGCATAGCATACTTAAGTGCACCTTACTTAGAAAATGTAAGAGGCTTAAATGGTATAAAAAATAAAGAGATGCTTAAATGGTATAAAAAATCTGAATGTGAAGAGATGTGAATCATTCAAAAACATACAACAGAGAGATTTTTTATATACAAAAAAGCAAACATAAATGGTTATATAATAAAACTTGTAAATGGTTGTGACCAAAAAAAAAACTTATGCATGATGATGGCACAGAGAAGCGTTAGGTGACAGAAATTTATTCATTATTATGAACATATCTTCAAAAATTATATTATTACTAGAAATGTATGTTCATTATAAGAAATTTATATTCAAAAATTACTTTATAATTACAAATATTTTACATTATTATAAAATACATTAACCAATGTCTATTTATTGCTATTAATTTGTTGTCTGCTTTTTGCCATCAGCTTTTATTTAAAAGTATCAAATTTTTTGCTTTCAAAATCTAAATTTGACCCTCATAATTTTTTTTCTGTGCCTGCATACATGGATGCCAAAAAATCATCCCATAAAACCCTTGGGAGTCCAGGGTCTACAATAGCGCATTTAGATAACATATTTTAACTAGTTTTTCCTAACTTTATAGCATACGGTGTATGTATATATTAACCCTCTGAATTAGGGTTGGCATTTAGCAATGCCAACCTAACTGTTGACCTGACCATGTCTGAAGACAGAAATTTTTTGCCGACCTCAGAATTTGAAAAAATAAATATTTTAATTTTAATCAAAATAAAAACAGTGAAACAAACATTTTGTTTTTATTCTAAATAAAATAATTAAAACCAAATATAAAAGATGTTATTTAATTTTGAAATAAAATAATTAAAATAAAAACAGCAAAACAAAATTTTTATTTAAATTTCAATTAAAATAAAAAACGAAAACACAAACATTTTAATTAACTTTAAATAAAATTTAACAAAAAACCAACAGAAAGGTAAGCATTTTATTCAAACCCCTAATAAAATAAATACAGTAAAGATAGCATAACATATGTTTTGCTATCTTTACTGTATTTATTTTATTACTCTAAATATGAACCTTTTATTTAACTTAAAAGCAAAACAATTAAAATTAAAAAAAAAACACAAATGTTTCATTATTATATTATAAATAAAATAATTATAATTATATCGACAGATTTAATGTTTTATTTGAATTCCTAATAAAATGGTTAAACCATGCATTTGTTTTTCAAAATTTGTAATAAAACATTGACGTTTGACGTTTTATTTTTCTTTATGATCTTTGTTTCTAAATTTTGTGCTGGGCTGATACCAACCTAAAACAGTTTTATGTCAACAGTTTTTTTGCCAAATTTATTTTTCCTAATTCTGATATATATATATATATATATATATATATATATATATATATATATATATATATATATATATATATATATATATATATATATGCACTTTACAGGTAATTATTAGGAGACATGTCGGTTACCATAAGATTGGTATTCAGTTTAGTGTCTAACAATTTTTTATCTAGAAATCACCTTCTTGTAGATTTTAAATCCTTCGCTGTCTACAAATTTGCTTGTGCAGGATGTAAATCCTGTTTTATTGGTGAAACTACTCGCAACTTAAAGACACGCATGATTGAACACTTCAGAGGGGATATAAACTTTCTTATTTATAAGCATCTTTACTCAAAAGAAAAATCCTTTACTAATTATAGCGATGAATGCTTTAAGACTTTTAATTGTCCCAATAATTCAAACGTATTAATTTAATAGATTAAATTCATTTTTTATTAAAAAAAAAACACAAAAACACAAATTAAAAGACTAGAATATTTTTGAAAACATTCTGGATGTTTTTAAAAACAAACTGTATGTTTTTATTTGATTTTTTTTAAAATTCTGAATGTTTTTATTTATTTTAT